TCAGCCTCGTGATCATTTTTATTGATCTCCCCTTGAACAGCAGGAGCTGCCATAAAAATAAAACATCTGGCTGTGGCCCCTAAAAGTCAGCTGAAAACCGATGAAGCAAAATTCTGCCTCCTAAAACAGGTGTAGGGCATTTGCCGAGGATCTGGCTTTGCTTGTTCTAAACTATTAAGAATTCCTCTGCCAGGGAATTCTATACTTGGCAGCTGCAGTTAGATTCCACCCACCCTTTGTACTGGCTACTCAGGAAGGACAAAAGGGACCAGAATAGGGACAAAACCTGGCCTGTAAACTATTTTTAGACTTGAAAAGTGAACACAGTACAACCCCATTGAGTTGAAGTATTCCAGAGGCATCTGAAATATTCAGCTAAATGGGGAAGCAAATGTTGCATTGGGGATATGATCCCTCTGCATTCCTTTCTTTCTCCCCCCGCCCCCAGCCTTAGCTAAGGGATTCGATACAATAGGGTTTTTTTTATTTTTCCAGCTAACATTGAAAGTGCCTTTTTCACATGTGGTCTGATTTGAATTCGTGTGCTAGGAAGCGACGAGTAAGAGGAACATCCTGCCACAAGGGCGGAGCCAAAGGAAAGGGGTCAGAGTGGTAACACTACATTTAAAGAGATCAGACATGGATTTTCCCATTAAATAGAAGAGTTTCAAGCCCTAAACTGCATGCCCACCTCCTCCTCCCCACACAACCCACAGGGTATGCCTGTCTGCAACATGAAACTGCTTTCTAGAGGACCAGTGAGTTTCAGGGTCAGAGTGATTAGCAGGTGTCCAGAGATGGTCATCTTCCCTGTAGACACCTCCATCAGCTACAGCTAGGAAGGGAATATTAAAGGACCAGGCTATAAGCCAGTTCACCATGCAGTTGATCCACTTCACTGCCCATGCACAACTGGGGACTTTTCCCAGGTATATGGCCAACATTCTGGACATCAGAACCCAGCCGGCCAGGCTGGTGTGCTGTATTCAGATCCCTTTCCTAGCTGGAAGTGGCCTTGGTGCTACAAGCTAAACTAAGAGCAGATGCCAAGGTGACCAGTTACGCTTTGCAGAACAATTTCTCTCAATTTCAAAGTTCTTGACAGAGCTGGTCAGGAATTTTTCAAAAAAAAATGTTTGACAGATAATGCCTGTCTGTCAAAAACTGAACCTTTTGGCAGGAACGTATCAGCTTTAACTTTTGTCAGGAAAGGTTTCACCCCCCACCCCCCAGGGCTGAAATTCGGGTCAGAATGTATGTGTACGAGACACACCGCCAGAAGAGCCAATAGCCCAGTGGTTATGGTACTCATGTCTGATTCAGAGCAAGGTCTTGAGCCTATGCCTCTCCACTCCCGAACCACTAGACAATCGGCTATTCTGGGCTGGGACACATGGGTTTTCATGAACAATTTTGAAAGCTCTCAGTTGCAGTGATACACAATGGGCGTTTGTTTGTTTTTAAATCTCTACAATTTCCACCCAGCTCTACTCTTGTCTCAGTACAGTAGAGGCTGCAGTAAAGTTTCAGAGCAGAAAACTACGTGGCCAGACTGGTTTGATCTTCCTCTATTTGAGCCAGTCACAATGTATTTTCTATTGTGTGTGTGCACACCACTACTCTCTCTGGGATGGATTAGCCAATCTGCTCAAGCATTTGATAGTCACTCTCAACTCTTTGAAAAAAAGCCTTGATACCATGACATCTAATGGTGATTCTTTAGTTCATATGATGGGGGGGAACCAGGTCTTTGGAACTCAAGGGCATAGGACATGTTTCATATTTGATACCACACGTGGATAGTTTAGATGGCATCCATGATGTGGTTTTCAGTCATGGATTTGTTACACTTGAGTACGAGTGTCCACAAGGAAAGACATTTTAGACAAGCTGTCTCTGAGACAGGCATAAGGAGTGAGTTCCCTCTCAGACCCAAACAAGCCTCAGGTTCCTCCCAAGGATCTGTACTGGGACCTGTGCTGTTCAACGTATCCATTAATGATCTGGAAAAGGGGGTGACCAGTGAAGTGGCAAAGCTTGAAGATTATACAAAATTATTCAAGATAGTTAAGCAAATCAGACTGTGAGGAACTACAGAGGGAGCTCACAAAACTGGGTGATTGGACAACAAAATGGCAGATGAAATTCAATGTTGTTAAGTGCAAAGTAATGCACATTGGAAAAAATAATCCCAACTGTACATATACAAGATGGGCTCTAAATTACCTGTTAACACCCAAGAAAAGAGATCTTGGAGTCACTGTGGATAGTTCTACAAAAACTTCTGCTCAGTGCACTGCAGTGATCAAAAAGACTAACAGGGTGTTAGGAACTATTAGGAAAGGGATAGAAAATAAGATTGAAAATAACAAATGCCACTATATAAATCCATGGTGCATCCATCTCTCAAATACTGTGTCCAGTTCTGGTCACCTCATCTCAAAAAGGATATAGTGGAACAGGAAAAGGCTCAGAGAAGGGCAACAAAGATGATCAAGGGTATGGAACGACTTTCATACCAGGAGAGACTAAAAATATTAGGGCTGTTAATCTTAGGAAAGAGACAACTAAGCGGGTGATATGATAGAGGTCTATAAAATCATGACTGTTGTAGAACAGTGTTATTTACCCTTTCCCACAATACAAAAACCAGGGGTCGCCGATGACCTTAATAGGCAGCAGGTTGAGCAGAAACAAGAGGGAGTACTTTTTCACACAACTAATCTGTGGAATTCATTGCTGTGGGATGTTATGATGGCCAAAAATATAACTGGGCTCAAAAAAGAACTAGATAAGTTAATGGAGAATAGGTCCATCAATGGCTACTAGCCAAGATGGTCAGGGATGCAACCCCATGCTCAAGATAACTTGAAACCTCAGACTGTCAGAAGCCGGGAGTGGAAGACAGGGGAGGTCACTCCACAATTGCCCTGTTCTGTACACTCCCACTGAAGCAAGGGTCAGAGACAAGATACTGGACAAGACGACCATGGTCTGATCCAGTCTAGCAGCTCTTATGCTCTTAACCCCCAACCTCTATGATCCAAAGCCAGCAGATGCAGAGATACTGAGGTCTTTAACAATACTGATGGTCTTTGACCTCTTCTAGCCTCGAGACTCAGTAGGCAGAAGTCCAGACATACTGTGTGAGAGAGGAACACTACCCTATTTAATGAAAGTATTTCATGTCACTCACAGCTGGGCCATCAGTTTAAAATATACAGAACAGCAATACAAGTGGCTGCCACCTACCTGCCACCACCAAAGGAGGCCAGCCAGGCAAAAACTAACTTACCACTTATGTCATATGTCATAAGATCTAATGGACTGGTTTTCACAATACAAAACCACCACAGTTATTCATAATTGGCCTCATAGTTAGCATTCTCCAAGAAGCCAATTATTCGTGAAACAGAGTCAGGGTTGAGAAACTGTGGCTCAGCAGCGGGGGCGGCTGTAACCCAGTTAAACTCGCAGAGTAAAAATACATATACGTAAGTCAGTCTCCAAAGGATTATTATAGGTCTGCCCAGATCCACCTGCCAAGGGTCAGATCGGGATTCCATGCACAAAATCAGTGCAGTGTATACTGCTTTGCAAAATGCACTACAGAGATATGAAAGACACCGCTCTACAGGAAATCCAATCTATCCCAGGCTAGGTCTACACTACGGGGGGGAGGGGAGGGGAGCGACCTAAGATACGCAACTTCAGCTATGTGAATAGCGTAGCTGAAGTTGCGTATTTTAGGTCGACTTACCTGGCTGTGAGGATGGCAGCGAGTCGACCGCTGCCGTGCCGCCGTCGACTCCGCTTCCGCCTCTTGCCGCGGTGGATTTCCGGAGTCGATGGCAGAGCCATCGGGGATCGATTTTATCGCGTCTTCACTAGACGCGATAAGTCAATCCCCAATAAATCCATTGCTACCCGCCGATCCGGCGGGTAGTGAAGATGTGCCCTCAGACTCAACCACTGTCACACCCATTAGGTACAATATGCCTTTATGAGGGGCTAAAAGGAATACAAGAAGGTACCTCAGTGAGAACATCCATGGGAGGACTTTTGGGGAAAATTCCTTGCACAGCAGGCCAAGTTACCTCTTCCCCCCCCACCAACATACACACACCTTAAACCCCTGTGCAGAAGCCAAAGGAGCCAACCTCAGTCCTTATCCATGCACACCTTAAGTGTGCGACTACCACTACACTCCCCAAAGGGGGTGGGATGGGAAAAGGGAGGTATATACCAGCTGGCAGAGCACACGCTGCCACATGCAAGAGAGGAGAGGGCTCCTACTCAGACAGTCTAGGCTAGAGATTAGATGCCAGAATATAAACCTGCACTGGCAGAGCTAAGATTAAACTCAGCAAGGTTCCAGGCATTTCCACTTATCCATGTAAGTGCCAGTAGACTAGATACAGCTTCTGCTATGATAGGACAGTACTCCCATCAGCAGCTGCCGGGGCTGTTCTCTTGCTCCTTAGCATGGGAATTTCAATTCTAGTTTTCAGTACAGTTAGTCAGAGAAATTGTTCAGACAGTTTCCTTGACCACAGACAGCGTAGTGGAGCTAGATTAAAGTCACATACATGGGAGGTGGCGATTGTAGTACTGGGCGACAGGGGAAGGCTGGAGTAAATACAACACATTGCTTTAGGGGAAGGCCAGGTCAGGGTACATTCTGCTACTGATAGGTATCCCCATGAATGGCAAGCACTGTAATAGCTTAGCTACTATGGCAGGGGATTGGGAGTCAAGCTGATTGGGGTTCTATTTCCAGCTCTGACACCGATTTGCTTTAGGACCTTGGGCACCACCTTAGCCTATCCGTGCTGCCGGGCATGGTGCCTTCACTACAGGAAATGCCAGCCCACAGGGGCAGTGCTTCTGTACAGACACCACTGGAGGTGGCCCTGCACACTGCATGGAGGTACAGCAGGTTCACAGGTTGCCAAACCATAAGGATTTTGCCAGACACAGGCACCCCCAGCAAGTCCTACCTTCCTCCACATCATTCCTCAGCGATGCCTCCAGCAAAGCCACGCTGGCCTCAAAAGACACCTTCTTGCGGCTGACAGCGCTCCTCCTCTTCTCATGCTTCCGCTTCTTGTGCTGCATCTCCTTCTCGTACTGCGCCCACTTCTTCAGCTGCTGAGCCCTGCGCTTCTGAGCTGTCCGCAGCCGCTCCAACGTGGGCACCTTATCCAACAGCTGGAGTTCTGTCAGGAGATCCACGTGGGCGTCCATTGGCTCTGCTGGGAGAGATGGAGGGCAGGCCTAGGATGGCCCTGCTGGAGCGATATCCCACAGTAGGTGCTCTGTGCATCAGCAGCCCAGCACTATACTAGCATCCTGGGGCTGAGCTGTGATCGGTGCATCCTAATCTCCAAGGAGCACATGGTGGAACCCTGAGAAGAGAAGGAAGGAACAAGGCTAAGTTTCCAACAGTCCCATTCAGAAAAGTCACCATTCCCAGCCCAATGGAAAAAAAACCCTCTCCTGATAACAGCTACCATCTTAAAGAAGTTTTCATTTTGCTGCCATTGTAACCCAGGCCTGCTTGGTGTGGTGCTCCGTCCCCCTCTAGTGACACCGAGACCATCTAGAGATTAATGAGTCTGCTACAACCTCAGCTAAGAGGCATGTGGCTTGAGGCTCACGCACTAAGCTTGAGAGGTCCCAGGTTCAATCCCATCCACCAACGGCCAGGATCTGATGGTGTTACACCATGTCAAGGCTTTTAACGACAAAACTCGGTAATGCGGTGTGCAATTGTCACCTACCAGCTGGACGGTACCTAGTGAAACCCACTTGAAGATGTTGTAGTTTTAGTTGGGGCGAATTGCACATTAGAGCACCAGGGAGCTCCCTGAGGCCATGACTCACCTATGGGCTCCTCTGGCATAACACAAAGTATCCACTTAAGTACCTGAGGATCCCCAGCCTCACTGTACTTGAGGCACCAGGGGAGTTAGTTTCACCTCTCACAGCAGCCCACTTGTTTATGACAGCTCTAGATTGCCTCCAGCCTGATGAGGCTATTGCCAGTTGTGTTACAGTCGTCTCTAGTGGCCCCATCGGCGATCTGAGTCCCATTGGGCTACACACTCTACAGACACACAGCAAGAGTCCCTGTCCTGCAGAACTTACAACATCAGGTAGTAAGACAAAGAGCAGAAGATAAAATAGAGGCACAAAGCACGTCAGTGGCAGAGTCAGGAACAGTATCTAGGTCTGAGACCCAGTCTAGTGCCCCAGTCACTAGACAAAGTGGCCTGGAGTGTCAAAATAAGGCAAATACTAGAGATTGGAGACCTACGAAGTCACCCAGTTCATCCCCCGAGGCCAATGCAGAATGGACACACACGCAGTGACAATCAAGGTGTCAATGTTACCTTGTGCTCTCCTCACCCTCTGTTTGTTATATCCACCAATGACTTCACTTTACTGCCATTGTACACTGAGGCAGGGCCTGTCTGCATTGTGTGCACAGCACCCAGCATAGTTAGGCTCCAAATCCCAAACCAGGGCTTTAGAGGTACTACCACAAAACCAAACACAGCGAAGGGTTTTGCTGCCGACAGACCTAATACATTGGGAAACCGTTTTTGAAGTGACAGGATTTTTATCTCCTAACCGCTTGCAGCCCGAAGGGGGGTGTGACAGAATGTGGGGATTTCACACCTGAGCCTGCACTCTGACACCACCTAGCTCCCCCTGGAGACAGCTGACTGGGGTAATTAAAGATAATTAGCTAATCAGGCTGGTGGGCTGGGTGAGCTACCAAGCCAATTAGCCCGTCAGCTTAAGGCTAATCAAGAGGCCCAGGAAGGAAATGCCAGGAAGAGAGGAACAGCCATACTCAATATACTGCACATTCCTCTACAGGAGATGAATCTGAGATACAGTTAATGAGGCACAAACAAGTTGCCTCAGTGATGAGCTAGTTTCCTCTAAATGTACCAATACACAGTGTATAGGGTTGCAAAGTCCCAATGTAGATCCAAAGCCTGTCAAAATTAACAGGCCACTATGTTAAAGCCGCATATTAAAAGAGCTGGTCAAGTTTCCTATCACCATCCTTCCCTCCAAACCTCTTCCAGGCAAGCCTGACCACATTAGATACTGGGGGTTCGTTATGCAAAATCTGCAAATGCCTGAAAATTTGGAGGGTTGTAATCAAATGGTGACGGAAGCTGGCAGGAACATTCCTCGCTCACCCGCCACTTCGAAACAGAGAGAGATCAGCATTGCTGCTAAGCAGAAGTGGTGCTAAAAGCCTCAAGGCCCTTTGGGACAGACAGTATTTGCAAAACACAAAGGCAGTCTGAAACAGATCTAGTAAGTCCTCAAGGCAGCTTAAATCATAGTCAAATCAAACTGTGTAGAGGCATGTGCCTCTGCTAGACCTCGGTCCTCTTTGGATAACACAAGCCAGTCCAGCCAAGCATGATTTATCCATGGCCCACAAAGATGTTTCTGAAGAATAAATTCTTCCCTTTTGGAATGCACCAGATTGTACCAAATGGTGGATAGTTTCACAAGGTTTATACGTGGAAGGATACCCCTAGGCTCCATACAACAGCATTATCATCCCCATCCACCTTCCTGCAAATACCTCCAGAGGCCTTTGATAAAGGATTCAACCCCTTCTATAAATACCTCCGCAGACTCTAAACAAGACATTCCGCTTCCTCTGCAAGTTACTCAGGCTGAAAGCTGGAACCCTGCGTTCCAATACAAATCTAACTTACAGGAATGCCAAAGCATGCAGGTTGGTCCTGGGCTGCTCTTGTTGAAACAGTCATGCGCAGAGACACCAGAATAAGGCCTAAGTGCTGCTTCAGTGGCACATGTGAGCCCGAGTTTGCGGGCTTCAGTCGGAGTGGAACATAAGGTCAAAGGCACCTGAGCGTAGTGCATAATTCTACCCTTCTGAGAGCATTCCTTGGAGGGGGTCTAGTCTGGCAATGTTTTAGCTAACCCTGAAGATTTGAAGCTCAATGTATTTAATAACTGGATGGTTTAAGAGGTAACAGCAAGGGCCGCTTCTTGATGTCCCCCACTGCCAAACAGATGCCACTTTTCATGATGGTTTAGTAAAAGTTGTGTCCATCCCTACAAAAACGGCTCAAGCAGCAAGGGCCTGATTCTGCAGGTCTGTTAAAGCCAGTGGAAGTGGAAGTCAGTGGGTCCGCTTGCCTGAGGCATAGCTACTCCCAGGAGGAAGGCTTGCAGCTTTGTGCCCTAGAAGTGCCAGAGGAAACAGCACATTTAGAAGGCATGGGAGGGAGCCGGGTGGGTGGGAAGCTTGCTCTGCCATTGCCTGGCTTCGCCTGCTCTCTGCATAAGTTTTAGTCTCCTGTAGCTCTTACACTGGCACAAGAACAAGAAACAAACAAAAGAGAACAGAGAGACCTATGAGAGAAGACAAAGAGGCTGTGCTTTGCCAGCCAAGCCTCAAACATGGCCTTAAAAAGCAGCAGCAGCCTGCAAGTTATTGTGAGGCAGCTGCCACTACCAGAAATATTAGATCCTCCTTGAGCACCAGAGAACTGCTATAGGTTTACAAGCATTGAAAGGTGGCAGAACTGGACCTATTTCCGTGCTACTCTTTAGAACACTGTAGTCCACAAAGCCCCACATGGACGTTGGCTCTGCAGCTCAGGCTGCTTGTTTCCCAATGACCTAGTTTTTTTCATTGTGCAAAATATATATATATGTTGATTTTTCTTTGCACTACCTGGTCGGACTAAATATAGTACAGCCACAGCAAGGCCTAAATGTTCATTTTACCTGTAAAACAGCACAGGACCCAGCTGTGTGGGTGTCTGTGGTTTACAAAGCTTCGCATCTTAGTTTCTTTCTCGCTCTCTCTTTTTTTCCCCTGCCTCTGACACAGCTTTGTTTCCGTGAGCTCAGCAGCTCCGTTTCTTGAGAGGTGCAGAGCACATCCTGCGAGCCGCGAGCAAACCACAGCATCAGGACAGAGAGAATAATGATCCTACTGCAGGTGCCAGTCAGAAGGAGGGCCGCTCGCTATTTTATGCCACTCATGTGATCACTGTTTTCATGATGGTCCATCAAAAAGTAATCCAGCTGCTCCAATAAGAGCCCCCAAAGTAGGTCCTCTGTCTACCTCCAAGTATCCTTACTAAGAGCATGTAGGTGCTGGTACTTGTGATCATGTCCCATCCCACAATGCAACCAAAGCCCACATTTTGTGTGCACTCTGGCCCACCTCCTGCAAATATGTGATTAGTCCCCCTGAGTTCCATGGATCCACTTTTGTATCAAGTGACTTACAGGCCTTGCAGGATCAGGGCATCTTCCTGTAAAGTGGAAACTCCCTGAGCCACAAGCAAACAGCCATCCCCCTCCCCGCTTTAACTTGTGACATCATTTAGCTGAACAAAGAGAAGGTGAAGGGGTGACTTGATGACAGTCTGTAAGGATCTACATGGGGAACAAATCTTTACTAATGGGCTCTTCAATCTAGCAGAGAAAGGTATAACATGAGCCAATGGCTAAAAGTTGATGCTTTACAGATTTAGGCCTGGCCTACACTAAAAAATTAAGTCAACCCAGCTATGTCGCTCAGGAAAAATCCACACCCCTGAGCAACATAAGTTGACCCAACCCCCAGTTTGCTCACTAGCCCCCACATTAATAAAGTAAAAAGTCATCACATATGATCCAGCCACATAGAGGGACAGTCAGTTTGATTTCTTTAAAAAAAAAAATAATAAAAATAAAACCCACTGACTTTTCTATTTATTTTTTTTAACTCTTTATTTATTTACTTGGAGGGTTTAACAAGTTTACAAATCCTCACCATGTAAATATCAGAAACAAAACAATCACTACAACAGTTAGCTTTTGTTGGCAGAGGCATTGGATAGGAGTATAGTCACCAGATTTAACACGGTGTTACGATATTGCAGAATGAGCATCATTACAGCACTTATATGCCATTGCTTGTGATTTTATTCAATTGCCATGAGATCTCTATAAACACATATTTAACAGACCAGGCATGTCTATCATGTGTTAACATTAGAGGGGGAAGAATGATTTGGGAACACACAGTTTCTGACAGAGCATCCTTTAAAAAGGGTGTGCTGAGACTTAAGTATAAAATTCTACAACTGGCCTGCTGTTTGTATTGGTCTTCGAAGCAAGAGTGCACCTAAGGACCCAGTCACTCAAACATGCACATGAGTAATTTTATTCACAAGTTGTCTCCTTTGAAGTCAGTGGCATTATTTGTGGGCACAGGTGTCTGCAGGATTGATCCCAAAGCCCCAGAGTGCTATCAGTGCACAAAGAATAAGAGAACGTTCCACCCTCCCCTGCCGAT